GTGTGTGTGTGTGTGTGTGTGTGTGTGTGTGTGTGTGTGTGTGTGTGTGTGCCTGGGCATGTGTGCGAGTGGTTGTGTGTGCTTGTGTGTGCGTGTGCATGCGTGCGTGGGTGTATGAGGGTGAGAGAGAGAGAAAAAGAGAGGGAGAGAAAGAATGAGAGAGAGAGAGAGAGAGAGAGAGAGAGAGAGAGAGAGAGAGAGAGAGAAATTGAAGAAAGAGAAGGCATGTTTTAAAGTACCGACGTTTGGTTAGAGAGAACGACTTGTGTACGTAATTTTTGAATGGTTTACATAAAAAAGGGTGAGTGGGATTGGGATGAGGAGAGTGGAGGGAAGGGGAAGGACTTCGAGGGCGAGGGAGAGGACTTATAGGGTGAGGTTGAAGGCTCTTTGAATTCGTTTTTCCCATAACGTGTTTTACTGCATAGCAATTTGAATAATTACATTTATCATCCTGAGTCCTCGTGGGAGGGCCTTATCTCATTTTAAAGAACAGACCCGCGCTCATGCCTTATACAGTTGCGAACGCCGTAAAGCTCTTACTAAACTAAAGCTTCTTTCCAACCGTAAAATATCTCCCTTTTTATAGCTATCACAAAGACTTTCCATCCATTGCACGGGGCTCATAGACATGTAGTGGATGATTTTGAAAACCGTTGAACAAAATGCCAAATCCAATTCGTCGTCTTTACAAACATACTGGAATCTACACTTTTATTCTGTATGTCATTCACCCACGTACTAGTTCATTGTGTGCATAATTCTACCTTTTGCTGATAAGTCAGGGCACAAACAGAATTAATGCCGGAGGAATTTTTTAAAAAGGAAACATCGCCCCTTCCTTGCTTCCGAGGGAATTCCTTCCTAACCCAAAGTCGTTTCGCCTCGGCCATCTGAACGGCCGTTGTTCTGTGTTGTACAAGGTTGGACTTTAAATTAAAGAAGACGTGACGTGATCTTGGCAACTGGGACCTATTTACACCTCCCCGTCTCTAGCTGGGCAGATAGGTGGTGGCAATCGATTTTGGCTTCTTACCTTTTTTAAAACTCATCCGGTCTCATTGTCCTTTCCATTTACATGAAGCAGCGTGACAAAACGTTGTTACCCTTACGAGCTGACCTTAAAGTGGAGAGCTGGAGAAACGTCCCCTCGTTTCGGATGTAGATTGCTCCTGTTTGTCAATGCATTAGGTTCTCTCTGTTGTACGTGTTTGTGAGTGCTATCTATCTATCTATCTATCTATCTATCTATCTATCTATCTATCTATCTAGCTATCTATCTATCTATCTATCTATAT